GTCATGTCTCTGCAATATTCTTGGCATTATACAGAAGTAATTTGCCGTTGCTTTCTTCTAGGATGTTGTTGTATCAGTTTAATCCAGGATTCTCCAAAGTTGGCCACTTTAAGACATGTGGCCTTTAAGAAATTTGGAGAGTCCTGGTTTAGTCTTGTCTCCCATCCCAGTAATAAATGGCCCAACTCTACCAGCTTCCAAGTCCAGACAAAGTTATTTATATACCTTTAACCTAAATGTACAAAGTACCTCTCCGTAATTAGGCCGCCCTTACAGTCTGCAAAATACTACATTTTAATCTTTGAAAGCTATACAAATCAGAGTACAGACTCACTTGTAGAAAGACATCTTTAAGAACAGGTTAGATATTTTAAAACTCTCATACTGCAGCAATCCCACTCATTGTTAATTAGCACAGATGAACAACAGTCAGTAGATTGCCTTTAATTGCAATACCTCTAACTGTAGTTGAACTATTGAGAGAAAAGAGATAGCAAAACATTTTGGATATTGATTGAAAGTACAGGAGAAATTATTTACGGCAACCACAAAACAAAAAAAAACAGAAAGGTTCTTCAGAACTGAAGAAGCTTCTTGGATGAGAAGCAAAACGTCTTCAAGCAAAACAAGGAAAGTCCAGTTCTCTTTTGAAAAAGCACCTTTGGGACAACCATGACCTGGATGACTGAGAATCTCCATAGTCAAAAGATAGAAATGTTAGGCTCATGGTAACAATGCCCATCGGAGAGTTTTATCCTGAATAAGACTATAGAGAGGAGGAGATCCAATCCCATCACGTTATCATCCCAAAAGTAATATACTACCTACAATCACACCAGGGATTCAACCTGAAAAACTAAATGGGAAGAGAAAGAGGATAAGTACATATTTAATATTTCTATCTTGGGCCTATCCAATATCTTACAAAATTCTTTGTTCTCATGTTCATTTCTTGCCTGCTATTTCTGAGATATTTTCGGTTCACAAGAATACCCTCTCCAAAATAAAGCTTTCTCTCAGAGAACATAGTACTATCCCATTAAAATTTATTTTCTCTTACAGTATACAAAAAAAATTATTGCTCTTTTTTAAAATCTAAAAGCAGGAAAGTGTTGAATAAATGTTATCAAAATTAATATTTTTTATATTTTGGGATCCACAAGGGGGTGCTGAAGTTGTTAAGAAAAAGCAGCACAGACTTTATGTTGGAGGTAGCTGAGTAAGTTTTGTTCAGTAGATCCAAGGTTTTTTTTAAACCAGGAGGTCTTGGAATTTAGGCAGAGTTACAATAATATTTCATTAGCTTAAAGTGGTCAAACATTATAATTCTGCTTGGTGAGGCCCAGAAGAATGGTGCTTGTCATCACAGTGAAACTGCCTATAATTAGGCATTATAGCTTTCTGGGCTTAGATGTTTCACTTCCAAACTCTACTTTATTTGGCATGAAAATAAGAACACTTGAAAACAAGACTCGTTGCTTACAATAACTAGACTGTTTCTTTTATCAACTTTAACTGGAGAGCTTTAACAATTTATAAGACCTATAATCCTATACAGGGTGCGTGATGGCTCAGGGGGATAAAAACACCAAGTTTGTCAACTGAAAAGCTGACAGCCTGTGTTTGAGACCCGGGCGTTGCGTGATGGGGTGAGCTCCTGTTACTTGCCCCAACTCCTCCTAGCAGTTCGAAAGCATGCAAATGTGAGTAGATGAATAGGCAGGGCTTTTTTTCTCATAGAACGCCCAGAACGGAGTTCCGGCACCTTTTTTTGATGGAACCTTGTAGGGTAGGCAAGGCGGGTTGTATGACGAGTGTGAGTTCCGGCACCTTTTTTTTTTTTTTTTAGAAAAAAAGCACTGTGAATAGGTACCACTGTGGTGGGAAGGTAACAGCATTCTGTGTGCCTTGGAGTTTAGTCATGCTGGCTACATGACCACATAAGTGTCTTTGGACAATGCTGGCTTCCTCGGCTAAGAAACTGAGATAAGAACCGCTCCCTAGGGTTGAACATGACTGACAGGGGGAAACCTTTACCTTTATACAATATAGGAACCCTAGATTTTTGTTCAGATTTTCCATAATCCCTGTACAAATTTCCCCATAGATTTCTCCACTGCCAACCAAATCAAGAAATAAATGTATTCACATTTCTTGGTTATAAATAGGAACAAGCAAAAGTAAGAACCACTTTTCAAATTTATTTTAAAGATGCAGTCTCTATGGTTTTATAGTGGTATTAATCAATAAATTAGGGAGAGAAAGAACCACGGGCAAGGAAGAAACCAGAAAAAAATGTTTACAATATGTGTTTGCCAGAAGTGATGTTTTCTACTAGATCTGTTGCAGTTGGACTGCATTTTATATCATATGTTTGTAAATGAATAACATCATGTGACTGCAACTTGCAATTTCACTTTTGCTTTCTCCATTAATTCTACTTGTTAGAAACCAGTTGTGAAGTTCACAAATGGCGATCATGTGACCACAGGACACTGCAACAGTTGTAAATGCATGCCAATTACGAAGCATCTGAATGGTGAATATGTGATCATGGGACATTGCAGCAGCCTTAATTGCAACTGTCTTAACTTAGAAAAGTCACTAAACAAAGAAGTTAGTAAGTGGAAACAATCTGGATTCCCATTTATATATATACAAAGAATAATTAATACCTCTGCAGTAAGGAGAAAAATTTCATCACTTATGTTTCTCACTCCACATGAAACAACGCCTAGGGCAATTCCGGGAAATACATAGGCATTATTCCCCTGTCCAGGATAAAACCTGCGTCCATCTGGAAGAGTGACTGGATCAAAAGGGCTTCCACTTGCAAAAATGCCTCGTCCCTGAGTAAAAACAAAAATAATATTGCAAAGTGTTATTTGATGGGAAAAGATGGACATATATTAAAATGTTCATGTAGATAACAGTGCTTTTACAGTAGTGGCCAAAATTGTGGAAACCTTTAGGAAAAAGTTTTCCACAATTTTGGCCATTACTGTATAAAGTGATTATATTAGAAATTACAGGAAGAGCAAAAGACCTATTATTTGATGTTATATATCTATAACATCTATGTGGTTCCTCCCAGATACCCTTGGCAAGTTTCAGACTAGTTTGAAATCTTTCTATAATTTTAATGTAATGTCCACATCTGTCTAACTGTAGATAAAAAGAATGAATTTCATATATTTCACAGTTTTTAATTCTTTCACTTTAAAAAAAAACCTGGGAGAACTGTGGCTGAGTGTTGTGATCATTCTGTCTGTGCATGTGTGCATGTATGTTGAATGTCTCTTATCATAGAAAGTCTACATGACAAGCTTCTGGTGAAATTCTATCTTCTACCCAACTCTTTGAGAATCTTGTCATCTCAGTTTGAGATGATGCCCTTATACCTTTCTAAAGTTGTTCTTGTTCATAACGACTGTTACAAATGATACAAAAATGAACACAAGTCCAGAAAATCTATTTGAGTAATTTGCTATATGGTTACCTGAGAAGAACAGGTGACATTTCATTTCATATGAGCAATGTGATACTGCTCATCCCTGAACAAGTCCAGAATCTTAACTTACATTTTATAATATGGTCCTATATAGGTTTATTGAGGAATCCCGCTAAAATCAATTATTTCTGTGTGAATGAGCATAAAATTATCATCTTAATTTTTTTTTAAAAAGGAGATTTGTTCAACTAAAGAACTGCAAACACAGATACAATAAAAACATCAACATCGTTCAGCTATTTAAAACATACAATTCATCTTGGTGTTGTGCAGATTTACAACAGCTTGTTTTACAAGTTTTAATGGAAGATTAATCATTTAGATGTATCTTTAGGTCTTCTGATCACCAAATGGAACCATATTCCATCTGCTTTAAAAAATATTTGCATTACTCCTCCATTCCTATATTGCATCTTTATGCTTACTTTTCAGTAAGCAAAAAGGCATGCTACATTTTGTATACATTTATAGAAATAATAACCACGAATTCTGGAGAAAATAATGACCCAACATAGAAAGTATATGACCTGCATTCATTTTTATATCTAATTCTGTTCTAACTGCATGTTCTAAATGGCTAGAACAATTTCAAATTTAGGGATGTTTGTGAAAGGGTGGGTGAGTGAAGAGGTAGGGAAAATAAACCCCAGAATATGTTCCAGATCCTGCCATAGATCTCTAGAACTGAAGCCCAGAATGTTTTGGCTATTCCAGATTTGGGATGAAATGAAGACAGGTGAGGCAAATAGGGCAAGACTGGTGTTGCTACTCCCTCTCCACAGCTCCCAGATTAGCATATCCTACCAGCCCCTATCTCCATCTTTCCAATATCATCCTTCCCCTCAGCCAATGTCCCAAAGTAGCATGGTAACTACTTTGATAGCTACATAGAGTAGCTCTGCCTACCTAACCTCCATCTTCTCAGTACATCACTCCATCTCTCCTCTCAGTCATTGAGAATATTCCAGAAGTCCACCCACCCTTAGTCTTCCCCCAAGCCTTCCATCCTTCCTGCAGCTCCTGCTCTTAATCCTCTAACATGGCATATTCCACCAGCCTAACCCACTATCCCACCTGAACTAGAAACTTTGCAGTTAAAGGCAATTGTTGTAGTACAGCAGTTTTGAGGAGCTTTGCAATGTGCTGGAGTGCAACTTAAGCACCTCTCTGAATCATTAAAACAACTGCAAATTTTTCTCTCTCCAGTGACAGATATTAGGGAAGAAATATATTCTATTAGTTCCTGAATATACATGAAATCCTCTATTAATTGAAATGTTGGCCATATAATTTTACTAAAAGGCTAGCTCAGTTCCGAGTGAAATTGGTTTCTCTTTTAACCTAAAATTATGGAGAAATGTTGCTAACATGTTGCTAAAAACACACACAAATAAGTCTAAAAACTGCCAAAATAAATACACAGAGAAACAATTGTATGAATATATACACTAATAATGTGCCAACAAAAACTATAATCAATTTAAATATAATTCTTCCCCATCCCACCCCAATACCTCGGTTAGATAATAGCAATCCTCAGCAGAGCATTCTGCTTTGCTGGTTGGGTTACTGAGTGCAAAAATTATTGGCCGTTTGTTGAAGGAAGCCATATTCTTGATAATATTTTTTGTGAATGCACCAGCAATTGCAGCAACTCCTAAGCCAGACAAAGATATAACACAATGTTATGGACTGTACAATATTTATCCATTACTTTAAAAGAATATTCTGCAGATGTATTGAAAAACAATTTCATTTAATTATATTTCTGCTCCACTTTTTGAAAAGATAAAAATGACAAGACAGGTAAAAGTGCCATCTTAAATTAGTTATATTCACTATATATAACATCATTACCATCTTCACCATCACTACAATATGTTCACCACTGGTATCAAAGTTGATCAGAAAATAAATAATATAGTGCAGTGTTTCTCAATGTTAGCCCCTTTAGGATACGTGGACTTAAACTTTCAGAATTGCTAGCTGCTAAAGTGAATGAGGCAACTTTGATATAGGCATTTTTTTTAGCACCACTATGTTTTCTGTAACTAGAAATGTCTTTGCGAGAGTATAAAATCTAAAATAGTATGCCAGCTTATTCTTGAACAAGTGTCATAGCCCTGTAATGAAAGGCAGGTCCCATAAATGAAGCCCAGTGTATTTCTTTATTTTCACTAAGATGTTTCACTGAATACAGTAATAACATTCTCCCTATGAGAAGTATAGAAGTTCTTACAAGGTTCAGGGATTTTTTTTTCAAACAAAAGGCACATTTTTTCTCTCATGAATAAAGTATTCTGAAATATTCCTGACATATTGGAAGTATTTTCATTGGAATATTGGCTCTTAAATTACTTTGTGCTATACCTTTTTCATTTCAAGTGAACTGATGCAAGGAAAATTTCTAATGGATCATGTTGAGAACCAGCTTCAGAATCTGAAATGGTTACAATTTTGCCGATTTTCAGACAAAATTTTAATGAACTATGCACTTGTTTCATTATGAAAATTTCATGAACAATCCAGATAACATCACTATTTAATCTTGATTGCTGCTTTTTAAAAGACATCTTCAGCACTTTTTCTTTTCTCTTTTAATCAAAATAATCCATTTCCACAAGAGAGAATTGAAATCAAAATGCAAATATCTGAAAAGATTGCCCTTCTATAACCATTCTGATACTTTGATACCTTTCTTTGGCCTACATTTTTATCTTTTGGAATTAACTAGAAGAAACTTTTCCCAATGCACATAGAGATCTTTTTATCAGTCTGATCTATAAATATATTGTTTCTGTATGTTTACATAAGAAACATGAATTCAGAGAGAAGAAGCAAATGACAACTTTGAACTAAACCTTTATCCAAACTCTTATTCTCCAAGAATAATTCCTGTACTCTTATCTGTTGATGTTGCCTCATGAGTCCAATTATTAAATGTGTTGTTAATGTGTTGTTGAATATGGTATCTGGTTCACTGTTATAAAATAATGTGTTCTGAAATTTTTCAAAACAATATGTTTTAAGGTTTCTTAAATCAATTTATGAAATATTTGCATCTATCTATCCTAAGATAATGAAAAAGAAAAGATAAAAGGAAGAGAGATTGAGATAGATGAACAGATATGTAGGAGGCCAAACATATTTCATCAGAATCTTGGTTTCTTTGCATAAAATCTTAACTAAACATCTGTATGAATGCTTAAACAAAATGAAAAAAAAAACCAGCATTTTTAAAAAGTTCACATCAGGACATTGCCTTTGACAAAAATTAAATTAGGGTGCAATAAAATTAATAAACAAATGCTACAGACCCAAAGAGCTTTGTAGCCTTAGCTAAAGTATCACCAGCTTGAACATATAATCTTGTTTTATTCTTTTTTCCTTGCTCTGACAGCTTAGAACTCTTACAGAAACTGAAGTTCAAAGCTCCCCATAATTTTAAACTGACCTTAACAAAAGTTATTCTCTTACTTTTTTTATTAGCTAATGTGAATTTTGTTTTTAAAAAGCAAATGGTACAATGTCAATCAGTCCTAGTTATAGCAAAATAAATTAAAAAACAATGTGACTGATGCTTTATGACTAGATTTGTTAAAATTGCGTTTGTTCTTGTTCCAACAATAACAAGTCTTTTTCCTGAGTGGTACCTAGTAATATACCATATATGGTTGTGGCTAGAGTTAATGAAAATCTTGGGGAAATATCAGATAACTTAATTATTCCTAACTTTTCAAAAAAAGATTTTTTAATCATATGACATTTGATCGAATTTTTCTTGTTTATGGAGCACTGTTAATTTAATATAACATCCAAAGAAATATATCCTTTTCATATTCAACACTGAGCATTACATAGCATGGGATACAAAATACTATATGTGATCTTTTACTATGGAAATGGGTCTACAAAAAATTGTATGTTTTAGTGTATTTTCACATACCACCACACCATTCTCCCAAGAAGCTATTTATTACATGAAAATACATTTGAGGTCATACATTATTCACATATCACTTGCAGTGTAATTCAGAAATCTCTATAACCTCACCTACTTTCCAAAACTGTGAGAATACTGTATTTGTTCTTATGCATAAAGATCATGATATTTTTACCAATTTCTCTAAAATGTATGCATATTCAGTATGCATACATATGTATGTGTGTGCGTATGCACATAGATAGTCATAAATATCAAATGAAAGGGCAAACTTTGATGAACTGATATATAGTTTATTACCTATAAGAACACTTGGCCTTATTTTGTTAACAATGTCTTCTAAATTTTTCATCTCCTCATGCTGGTGAGCAAACACTTCTTTCTCAGGTGTTAATGAAACACGACCCTAAATTAAAAAATAAGATTACCAGTTAAAAAAATACAGCTTTAAATTTATTCTGCATTTTAACGAAAAGGATCAGTCTTCCTTTAAAAACATACTAGTGTTCCTTTGATTTTGTCATCAATAAACTCAATCATACTTGTAAACTGCAAAACATATGGCATCCATTAAATAATTATGATAATCAAACAATTTTAGCAAGCATTTAAATCATATTTAGAAGCATAGTCAGAAATTTTGAGGGGACTATAGACCTCTACATTTCTGTTATACTCTGTACTCAGTGGCACTGAAAACTTTTCAAACTTTGTTTGATGAAATGTTATTTACACTGTCCCGGCTTGCATTTTAGAAACCATCCTAACCAAAATACATATAGAAAGGCTATCTTCAGAGGATTCAACTAGTTTTACGGGCCTGGTGACGATGTCACAAAATATAAACAAGTTGCCAGCATCACTGTTTGTGTGTGTGTGTGCGGAGAAGGTACAAAAATGTAGAGACATGATAGAAAGACCTCCAACAGAGGAGAACGTGCTGGGCCAGAATATCTGGATGAGGGAGCTCTAAGGAGTACACGTGTCCCCTCCCGGAAGACATGTCGCCTACTGTTCCCCAAGCTTTGGCCACACAAGTAATAGCTATTTGTCCATTTTAGATTTTTCCATCTGAGAAAAATATTAAATGCCACCTCCCTGCTTGCAAAACCTTTTGAGAGAACCATTTCCTCCTGATCTCTTTATAGCCAGGCTATCTTTTATTTTGCCTTAGAGACTGGACACTCTCCAAGTTCCCTTAGCTGACAGCAGAGGATTGTTTGACTCACAAGGACAGCATGCATCGCCTCAGGCCTGGAAACTGTCTGAATCAGAATCAGCTTCAACCGTGTCTGCAGTTATGTGTGGGAGGACCCAACTGACAGGAGGAGAGTTTTCCTCCACACAGAAAGCATACCTAATCCCAAATAATTCTGGAGGGGGGGGGAAGAGTTTCCCTGCCTCTAGCAATTTTGTCCCGGGTAGCTATAAATCTGAATTCTTGATGCAACCCAAAATCATAAAAAAAATCTTTAAGGGGCCACCATGACTCAAATGAAGCAGAGAGGTAGAACTTTTATCAGATCCAATATATAAAAGTCCAGGAAATATGTAGTTATATATATAGTTGAAGGAAACATAATCCTGATGGCTTGCAATTCATTTTA